AGTTTAAATTTGCGGGGATGGGGGCGGGGAACGTAAAACCCGCCCCGCCCCGCCCCGTTGCCATGCCTAGTGTTAGAGCATATTAAACTATACAGGTTAGATATGACAAAGCATATGGGATCGTTATAACATAACATGCTTACATCAAAGCAAAGAGAATGTTGAGATGTATTAGAGCATATGTTCTCAATCAGAGCACATATGATCAAATTTATGAGTCTACTCTAGATGCTTTATGCAATGTATAAGGGACACCCCATGAAAACATGATCTGATGAATAAAACTTGCATAATATAGAGAAAATACAAACTATTCAGAGCATAATAGAATCAATCAAAGCAAAAACAACTATTTGAGCTATAGAAAATAAAACTTCATAAAGTAGAGTAACAAGAGCAAAAGTTTAATCATAAATAAAAAACAAAAACTTTAATCATTCTCCCCCTTTTAACACTTGCAAAAATCATTCCAAGGCATCTTCCTCGTCAAAGCTCATATCAATGTTGAGGCAAGATGGTAGCTTGTCAAACTTCCTTTTAGTGTGTGCTTGCCTCTCGAGTGTGTAGTGTAGTGCTCTATAGAGGCTAACCATCACCTTGTCACGATCCTCTTTTATGGCGAGTGGAGGGAGATGTGGAGTGAATGGTGCTGAAGAAACAAATGAAGTAGAGGATCTTGAGGGGCTCGATAACCTAAACATTTTTCTGTACAGAAAGATTATATTCCTATGTAAAAATACATGAAAAGTAACATTATAAGGGAATAATATATGTATATGTGTTGTTTAACAAAAAGTGCATTGAGTGACATAGGCTTGGCCTTGGAAGGGAAATGATAGACAACAAAGCATCAACCTAAGGTTGGAGGTAGGCATTCAAGCTTGTCACCAGCTAAACAAAGGGGATGGGATGTGTGATGACGTGCATAACGATCATGTCGTTTGTCAAGATCACATTGAGGCAACTTCTCCTTGCCTTTGTAGATGGGGTGGAGAGTAGGCCCAAAAACAAAGTCTTGCATGTCGAACTTTGTTGATGACCAAATCATCCATGATTTTTATGGCTCTCCAAGTGTTAAAGGAAGGTTGTGAGAAGTGCCTTTTAAAGTTAATTCAATAGCAACTTTCAAATTTAAAATGTTCTGCATCTCGATTTATTGTTGCTTGGCAATGTGCATGGTTTGACCATCTAACCAAGGAGGGCAATCCAGGTTGATGTCCCTTCTCATAGGTTTTACCTTAGTAGTGGTGCAAATGATGATGCCAGGTTCATTACTAAGACGTTGTCCCTCGTATTCTTGAAAGTTGTTGAAGAAAGAGCGTTGATTGGCGTCATATACAAGTGGTGTCTAATAACAATGTCAAATGTTATCAAATAAAACTAGGTTTTCCCTTAGAAAATTATTTGGAGCATAGGAAACAACCTAGGTCATCTCCTCAAAGGACACAATTCATAGGAACTTGAATTTTATCAAGACTTAAAGATTTTTATCAAACATTTTATATGCAGTAGCTATAAATTGAAATTTAAACTCTACAGAATCACGAATTTGAAAATCTAATCAAATAAAATATCGATTCAAGTTTTGATTATTGCAGTATTAAAAAAATATAATATGAATTCCAACATTTAATATTTAATTCAAATTAAAAATTGAAGAACACAATCATACTTTATGAAAACCCTACGAAGACAAATCTGTTTCGTATTGTCCCAAATCCAAATTGAATCCAATTAAGTGTTCTAAAATTAATTCAAATTAATTATGTTCTTAAATTAATCAAAAAATAAATCCATAATCATAAATTTAATTCAAAAACTTGAATAGATTAGGAAAACTTGGTTGTGCATCTCCATCATTGTCCATGCACAAATTTGTTAGGAGAGAAGATGAAGAGTCTCGACCAAAATAGAGAGGAATTCGTGAGAGAAAAAAATAGAGTTGAGAGAAAATGAGAGAAGTTTCTAGAGCAAGAAATCTAAAATCTAAAAATATGAGGTTCCTCAAAATAAAAATAAAAAAATGAGTTCAATGTAATTACACTTGCAAATAGACGACCAAATGGGCATAAATTTGACTAAACAAGGCCTGATCCACTAATTAAGTCCTAATACACTAATTACAAGTAATTAAGGTTTAAACTACAATCAACAAAATAAAATTGCATTGAGTCGCAACTTTGCCCTGCCCTTACAAACCTCTTCCTATTTTAATTGTCTTTTTACTTCAACATATGAGTTGTAACACTCTCTTTAAGCTTTCCAATGGTACCAAGAATGTCCCAATCCGAGTTTGAGATATGGTTTGCACAAGATAGAGTGTTTAAGCGGGTAAAAAATAAAAATCCAAAAATTGAGTAAATTTATCACAATCATTAAATAATACCACTATCATAAATCTATAAGTCAAACCATGAATATAAAACACATACAAAAGTCAAAAAGGCCAAATAAATACATAAAAAGTTGCTTTCTAAAACGTATTATCAGTGTCCAATCATCGTCTAATGACTTCTTCTCCATGAATTGCTTTATTTTTCTTGCTTCTTGGGTTTGGTTCCACTATAAAGAAATCAATGCTAAGGGATGCCACACTGAGGATGACCTCAGTGGAAACGTTAACATAAAAAATAGCATGCACAGATTCTACCAAATTTGGGAACTATGGTGCCACAAGGGTGCTAGACGCTTGAAGCAAGGCTAAACTCGGGGCTTCAACTTTCGCTTCATCAGCCTGAGTAAGTCCTTTAGTCTTAAGCTCCCCCTAAGAAATAGTGTGGGGGCTATCTGGGCCTGACCAACATGAATTCTTTGCTAAAAAAAGAGAGACCGACAACTTCCAATTGTTTGGCTTCAAAAGCTGGCAGAGTAGTGTTTGTGAGGGTCTGATGCTTGGCTTCCTCGACAAATTGAAGCTTCTTATGCTTCATAACTTGCTCTTCCTCCACGGTTTGGGTTGATTAAGGGTCACGCATTAGGCATATATTTCATGTTGGTGGAGGCTCTAGGGTGGCTAACTAAGGTGGTTGAGGTTGAGATTTGGATTTTGGTTTAGATGATCCTACATAGGAAGGAGCTGGTGGTTGTGTAGGTGGTGGAGGAGGCTGAGAGATTTCAAGACTAGAAGTAGAATATTCTTTTGATAAGATAATGGATGAGGGACTTATGGTCTTGTTAAAACATTTTTTATTCTTATAAAATTTGAAAATCTTTACCTTATAAAATAAAGGTTAAAATCCTATTTTGGTCTCTTATATTAATTGTTTGTTTCAATTTAGTCTCACTTTTATTTTTTATTTCAATTTGGTCCCAAATTAATTAATTGGTTTCAATTTAGTCCCAAATTAATTAATTGGTTTCAATGTGGGACTTCCGTCCAAATTATTTAAACGGGATTAACTTTTGGCCACGTAGATGCATACGTGGATGCCACGTGGATGACAAAACTAACACACCAAAAGTGCACCAGAACGGCCCGTTCTGGTTTCAGAACGGGCCGTTCTGGTGCACTTTTGACCACGTAGATGCATACGTGACATCCACGTATGCATCTACGTGGTCAAAAGTTAACTCCGTTTAAATAATTTGGACAGAAGTCCCACATTGAAACCAATTAATTAATTTGGGACTAAATTGAAACCAATTAATTAGTTTGAGACCAAATTGAAACAAAAAATAAAAGTAGGACTAAATTGAAATAAACAATTAATATAAGGGACCAAAATAGGGTTTTAGCCTAAAATAAATAATGTTATGAAAAAAATTTATAATAGAGACTAAAAAAATTTAAAAATTTGTAAATATATAAATTATAATTTTTTTTAATTATAGAGACTTAAAAATATTAAAAAAAATATAAATATAAGAACTTAAAAATATTTATTTAAGTTATAAATACTAAATGGTAAAGTAAAAAATATTTTACCTTTTTTTCTTTGTAAAAAAATTAACAACCTTATTTTAATCACCTATTTTTCACGTATTGGTCACCATCAAAACATCACCAAAAACATAAATTAAACCCTTAACAACGAAACGCCTATAAGTCAAAGGACATTGATAAGTGAGGACAATCAAATTAAAGATTACACAATGATTAATTTATGTTGCTTTGTCCTATAGGTGACTTTACCAATAATATCCTTCTGCTCAACAGTTTTCATGCTTATTCCTGTGTGATCGATTATCTTTTCTGGAAGTTTAGGAACTTGATGCCATATGCAAATACAAGAAGGAAAAGGAGGGCAAAGGCAACATGGACTAATGCAACAACTCCAAGGAAATCATGTTGGAAGCCCAACTGTCTCTCAAGGTAATCTTTCACTGTCATGGGTCTAAACCCAGGAACCTCTATTGGACTATTTTTGTCACCCACTTGGGATGTCACAAGTCCATATATAGTCCAAGCAACTGGGGAACCCCAATAATACCACCTCCACCATATTGGAATTTGCTGCATAATAAATGCAATGTAACTATTAGTTTCACAAAAAAAATGCAATAAATTAATTAATACACTTGGCCTACATGTAAATGATTAACTGAGAATTTGGATATTTTCAAAAGGAGTGATTCTTACCACTAAAGATCGTTTATGAGCCTTGAATCTAATATGTAGTATGTTCCTGTTGGTTGGGTTAGGTCTATACATATTTAATTTGTCATATGAAAGTTACAATGTGTTGCTTTAGTCCTAATGTAGTCCTTGAAACTGTTAACTTGCTAACTAGTGTTAACTTGCTAACTAGTTTATTATACTAATGTTTGTTAGGTTTCATCTTAAAGCCAATTGGTATTAAGTGAAGTTACCTAACAGATAAGCCACACCCCAAGATTTGGGGTAGGAAATGTGAGACTTCCCAACATCCCCCTTCCACTTGGTGTGGCTTATTTATCTGTTGGCCAATTTGACTCAATGCCAATTGGTTTTAAAATGAAATCTAACATGATATCAGAGTCGATAGTCTATTTTGGTAGCATTGCCTTGTTGGGTATTGGGCTCCCTTCCTATGTGGAGAAAAGGTCCAAAACTAAGAAGCCCACTTGATGTCTCACTTAATTAAGTGAAGAGAGGGTCTGAAGCATACGAGTGAGAAAGAAGGAAAGTCAGAAGTCTCTGAGAGCACCAGCACTTTGAGAAGAGAGAGGAAGAGAGAAAGTCATTTTTGTTTTTATACAGAGCTGCGACAGTAAAATCAGTTCTGCAGATTCATTCACCGTTGGATCGGGCTAAAAATTGGATAGAAGGTTCGTGACATCTGGTTCTTCATTCTGACCGGTTGGATCGTTGAAACGAGGTCTGAGTAGGGAGATATTCAGTTCGCACCGTAGCTGTGTATTTGGAGTTTTTCATCTTCTTTGTTCTCTATTTGTAAGCTTTATTGCTTTGTTGTTTGGCTGGGTGTTAGCACTATTTTGTGCAGTAGACTGAAACTATTTTGTACTCTTTGTTGATCATAGTGGAGCTATTTCTTTGATCTGGACGACTTGTGATTTTTACCCTTACTTTGAGGGGTTTTCCACGTTAAAAATCTTGGTGTCTCTGTGTGTGATTTTTGGTGATTTATTATTGTTGTTTATTGGTTGTTGCTCCTCACAGATTCTTTCAAGTTTGGGGAATTTATTTTCGCTGCTATAACTATTGATTTTGCTCTGTATTGTTATTGTGTTGCTATTTCCCCATTAGAGTGGTATCAGAGCTCTTGTTGGCTTTTGTTTGGAGCTATTTGACTTGCTTGAATGATGGAGGCAAATACTAAAATGATTGCTTTGAATGACACTAATTATCACTTATGGAAGGGCAAGATGAAAAACTTGCTATTTGTGAAGAAAATGCATCTTCCTGTCTTTACTACTCAAAAGCCGGATTTTATGTCTGAAGAAGATTGAGACTTTGAACACCAACATGTGTGTGGTTTTATTCGGCAATTTTTAGAAGACAATGTTTATAATCACATTGCAAATGAGACACATGCTAGAACTTTATGGGAGAAGATTGAGTCCTTGTATGCTTCTAAATCAGGAAATAATAAATTGTATTTGTTGAATTGTCTGATGAATTTGAGGTAAGTTCTTCCATTTCAGATCACTTGAATGAATTTCAAGGGCTCCTAGATCAGTTATCTGGAATGAGTATCAAATTTGATGATGAAGTTTTGGGACTATGGCTACTAAATACTTTACCTGAGTCTTGGGAGACATTTCGGGTTTCTGTTACCAACTCGGCCCCTAATGGTGTTGTTTCTTTGCAAGCGGCAAAGAGTGGTGCTCTTAATGAAGAGATGAGAAGGAAGGCACAGGGTTCTTCATCTCAGTCTGAGGTGCTTGTCACTGAAAACAGGGGGAGAAGTCAGATGAAGGAACCGAAGGGTGGTAGAGAAAAGAGCAGGAGTAAGTCCAAATCCAGATACAAGAATGTGGAGTGTCATTATTGTCACAAAACAAGACATATACAGAGGAATTGTTTTCTGTGGAAAAAGGAGAATAAAGGCAAGAAGGGTAAGCAGAAAGAAAAGGATCATGATGATGATGATGATCGTGATACTACTGCTACTTGTGGTGATCTTGTTATTCTTAGTGACCATGGGTCAGTTATTCTTGTATCAGACGAGAGCATGTGGATTGTTGATAGTGGTGCTACACTGCATGTTACATCAAGGAAGGAGTTCTTCACATCTTACACTTCTGGTGATTTTGGAATGTTGAAGATGGGTAATGATGGTGTGTCTAAAGTGATTGGTGTTGGTGATGTTTGCCTGCAAACTAACATGGGAATGCAGTTGTTGCTTAGAGGAGTCAAACATGCTCCTGATGTCCGTTTTAATTTGATCTCTGTGCAGATACTTGATGGTGGTGGTTATGATAACCACTTTGGTTCTGGAAAGTGGAAACTCACCAAAGGTAACTTGGTTGTGGCTAGAGGGGAGAAAAAATTCTAAACTATATTAGACAAAAGCTTTGGTTTCTAAAGACAGTGTGAATGTCATGGATATGGAGGCATCTTTGTGGCACCGAAGGCTTAGTCATATCAGTGAAAAGGGATTGAATTACTTAGCTAAAAAGATGTTCTTCAAGGGTTGAAGAGTGCAGAATTGGAGAAATGTTCTCATTGCATGGCTGGCAAGCAAACCAGAGTATCCTTCAAGAAGCATCCTCCCTCAAGGAAGTCAGAGTTGTTGCAATTGGTACATTCTGATGTTTGTGGTCCATTGAAGGTGAAATCCTTCAGTGGTGCACTTTACTTTGTTACCTTTATTGATGATTGTTCTAGGAAACTATGGGTCTATGCTTTGCAGAGAAAAGATCAGGTGTTGGAGAGGTTCAAACAATTTCATGCCTTGGTTGAAAGACAGTCAGGGAAGAAGCTGAAACGCATTCGTACTGACAATGGCGGTGAGTATTGTGGACCCTTTGATGTTTATTGCAAGCAACATGGTATTGCACATGAGAAGACTCCTCCTAAAACTCCTCAGTTGAATGGTTTAGCGGAGAGGATGAACAAGACATTGCTTGAGAGGGTGAGATGTATGCTCTCAGATGCTAAATTACCCAAGCATTTTTGGGGTGAGGCACTATACACGGCGGTGCATGTTATTAATCTCACTCCTACTGTTATTCTTAACAGTGAGGTGCCAGACAAAATTTGGTTTGGCAAGAATGCAAGCTATGATCATTTGCGTGTCTTTGGTTGCAAGGCATTTGTCCATATTCCAAGGGATGAAAGATCCAAGTTGGATACAAAGACAAGGCAATGCATCTTCATTGGTTATGGTGAGGATGAATTTGGCTACAGGTTTTATGATCCTGTTGAGAAGAAGCTTGTTAGAAGCCGTGATGTACAGTTCATGGAAGACCAAACCATTGAAATGAAAGATCCAAGTTGGATACAAAGACAAGGCAATGCATCTTCATTGGTTATGGTGAGGATGAATTTGGCTACAGGTTTTATGATCCTGTTGAGAAGAAGCTTGTTAGAAGCCTTGATGTACAGTTCATGGAAAACCAAACCATTGAAGACATTGATAAGGTGGAAAAGACTACACCCGAGAAAGATAGGAATCTGACTGATCTTGATCCTATGCAGTTTCCTATTCACAATCTGGATAATGTTGATGGTAGTGTTCAACCTGGTGAACAACATGATGATGTTGACGATCAACAACTTGGAGGTGGATTAGATGTTCCTATTGATGATGACCAGGAGGAGCATGAAATGTCTCATGATGAAAATATTGATGATGCACCTGAACCACATCAAGTTCAAATCAGGAGGTCTAATAGACAGAGACAACCTTCAACAAGGTATTCTTCTAATGAGTATGTGACCTTGACTGATGGTGGAGAACCTGAATGTTTTGAAGAGGCTTTGGAAAGTGAAGAAAAGCAACAGTGGTTGGATGCAATGCAAGATGAGATGAAATCCTTGCATGATAATCACACTTATGACTTGGTGAAATTGCCTAAGGGCAAGAGGGCCTTAGAAAACAGGTGGATTTTCAGGGTGAAGCAAGAAAGTAATTCTACATCTCCAAGGTACAAAGCCAGATTAGTGGTGAAAGGCTTCAGACAGAGAAAGGGTGTTGATTTCAATGAGATTTTCTCACCTGTGGTGAAGATGTCATCCATTAGAGCAGTTTTGAGTTTGGCAGCTACTCTTAATTTAGAGGTAGAGCAAATGGATGTGAAAACTGCTTTCCTTCATGGTGATTTGGAGGAAGAGATTTATATGAAACAACCTGATGGCTTTCAGGTTAAAGGCAAGGAAGACTGTGTATGTAGGCTGAGAAAAAGTCTATACGGTCTGAAGCAGGCTCCAAGACAGTGGTATAAGAATTTTGAGTCTTTTATGTGTGAGCAAAGCTACAAGAAGACTACTTCTGATCATTGTGTCTTTGTTAAAAAGTTTTCTGATGATGACTTTATTATCCTATTATTGTATGTTGATGACATGCTTATTGTTAGGAAAGATGTTTCCAGGATTGGCAGGTTAAAGAAGCAATTGGGCAAGTCATTTGCCATGAAAGACATGGGAGCTGCTAAACAGATTCTTGGTATAAGAATCATTCGTAATAGAGAGAAAGGGAAGCTTTGGCTATCACAAGAACAATATATTAAAAGGGTGTTGCAGAGATTCCAGATGGAAAATGCTAAGGTTGTGAGCAATCCTCTTGCTACTCATTTTAAATTGAGTGTTAAACAGAGTCCTTGTAATGAAGCTGAGAAATTAGACATGGAGAGAGTTCCTTATGCATCTGCAGTGGGTAGTTTGATGTATGCAATGGTGTGTACTAGACCAGATATAGCACATGCTGTTGGTACAGTCAGTAGATTTTTGTCAAACCCAGGTAGAGAGCATTGAAATGCTGTGAAATGGATTCTGAGGTATCTTCATGGTACTGTTGATATGAAGCTTTGTTTTGGAGGGGATAAGCCTACTTTGGTGGGTTACTCAGACTCAGATATGGCTGGAGATGTTGATTCCAGAAAGTCCACTTCGGGCTATTTGATTAAGTTTGCAGGGGGAGCTGTGGCTTGGCAATCAAGGCTGCAAAGGTGTGTAGCATTGTCTACTACAGAGGCGGAGTTCATTGCCATTACTGAAGCATGAAAGGAGTTGTTATGGTTGAAGAAATTCTTGCAGGAGCTTGGTTTTGTGCAAGAAAAATATCTTTTATTTGTTGATAGTCAGAGTGCTATTCATCTTGGCAAGAATCCAACTTTTCATTCTAGGTCCAAACATATTGATGTAAGGTATCATTGGATACGTGATGCTTTGGATGCTAAGCTGTTGGAGTTGACTAAAATTCATACTGATGATAATGGAGCTGATATGATGACTAAAGCATTGCCAAGAGGAAAATTTGAAGTCTATTGTGAGATCTCCGGTTTGGCGGTTATCTCTACATAGTTGTGAGGGGGAGATTTGTTGGGTATTGGGCTCCCTTCCTATGTGGAGAGAAGGTCCAAAACTAAGAAGCCCACTTGATGTCTCACTTAATTAAGTGAAGAGAGGGTTTGAAGCATACGAGTGAGAAAGAAGGAAAGTCAGAAGTCTCTGAGAGCACCAGCACTTTGAGAAGAGAGAGGAAGAGAGAAAATTATTTTCGTTTTTACACAGAGCTGCGACAGTAAAATCAGTTCTGCAGATTCGTTTACCGTTGGATCGGGCTAAAAATTGGACAGCAGGTTCGTGACATCTGGTTCTTCATTATGACCGGTTGGATCGTTGAAACGAGGTCTTAGTAGAGAGATATTCAGTTCGCACTGTAGCTGTGAATTTGGAGTTTTTCATCTTCTTTGTTCTCTATTTGTAAGCTTTATTGCTTTGTTGTTTGGCTAGGTGCTAGCACTATTTTGTGCAGTAGACTGAAACTATTTTGTATTCTTTGTTGATCATAGTGGAGCTATTTTTTTGGTCTGGACGACTCGTGGTTTTTACCCTTACTTTGAGGGGTTTTCCACGTTAAAAATCTTGGTGTCTGTGTGTGATTTTTGGTGATTTATTATTGTTGTTCATTGGTTGTTGCTCCTCACAGATTCTTTCAAGTTTGGGGAATTTATTTCTGCTGCTATAACTATTTGATTTTGCTCTGTATTATTATTGTGTTGAATCATGCCTGGCCTGACAGCCATATGTGTTCGGAAATCCTAAATTGTTGGCATCAATTCTGGCTTGTGACTTATATACTTGTTGGGAAACTTCACTCAATGACAATCGGTTTTAAGATGAAATCTAACAATGTTAACTAGTAAACAAGTTCATTTCTTAAAGGACTAATTTATAATGATAAAATGAAAACTGCACTACTCCTAGGTGTGTGTTTATATATATATATATATATGATAATTCCTGTGGTAAACACACGTACCGTTCTGGGAATAAGAAAACCAGAGAACAGGTTCCAGAAACTGATGAAGAAGGACATAACGATTGCAGCAATTTGATGGTTTGGTGTCAGAGCTACAGCCATCATTCCATACAGTGTGAAGTACATAAAGGACATGAATAGGAAGTAGTAGAACCACAAGAAATTTCCAGCACTTGGTTCGAACCCAATCATCCAGTAGAGGATAATGGTATAGGCTAGACTTTGTATTGCAACATAAATTACTTCAATTGTTACCTGCAACACAGTACTTTTTTAATGAATTGTGCAACCTTTCTCAGTTATTTTGATAGATGTTTTCTTATCTACCTGACCAATTGCGTAAGGCAGTTCTGAATACATGCCAGCAGCTCTTTCACGGTAGAGAACAGTTCTTTCTATTGCAACAACAGGTTGAACACTGTTAGTGTTAGAGGCTCCAAGGAAAAAAACAGATGCATACATGGCCCCGAGGAGATTCAACAGGTCTTGTTCCTTTTGCCTGCAGAAATGATATTTATCAATTTTTTTATCATGGACACATCAGAGTTCTTGTTGATGGTCTGCAGGTACAAAAGAGTATAGAGAATCAGAGATGATTCTTTGTAAAAATAACTTATGCTCAAGGCACTGGTGATTTAAGACAAACGTTTCTGTTCTGCTATTTCTTTTTCTTTTCTTTCTTATATGGATTAGACTTTAGAGAAGTAAAATGGAGATGTCATCCAACATCGAGGAGGATGATTATTGTTCCCAGGTTTTCTAACTAAGGATTTTTGATTGCTTGTTGCTTGTTGATAATTTGCTATATTAGTGAAGGTATGTAGTTTATGTCACTGATCACCATGAGTCTAGTTGCATGAAATTTGTGTAGACTGTATAATGGTAGTAGAGAGCCCCAAACAAGGTCACCAACAGAGAGGGAGTGTGCCTAAAGAATAAAAAAGAAGGATCTTCAACCTTACCACCTTAGGAAATTGCAAGCTTAAGAAGCATAACCTTTATTGGAAGGTTAGAACCATAGAAGGAAACATGAGAACTTGAAAAACAATTTCCACACGTGCTAGAGGAATGCAAATCATTTAGAGAATTGAGCCAGGGGAATCTGTCAAACTCTTTTGTGCAATTTGTGATAGGTTGTGTTTTTGTATTTGTTTGAGGAGATATAATTTTCAAGAGGAGGGTTATATCTTGTATTATTTATTGGGGTATTCAGACAACTCTCCATATTATTCACTTTGGACTTACACTTTCAACAGTAAATATTATGTATTTTTTTGTTTATCAGGGTATTTGCACACACATTCACACAATGGTAAGATATTGTTCACTTTGAGTTTACACTTCCATAGTTTTGTTTTTAGTCATTAGCTAAAAGGCTTTTTACTAATGAAGTATGTGTGTGCTTTATAAACTTTTATTTCTCCTCTTATTCTAATGATATAGAACTTGGTTTGCATCCCAACAATTTTCTAGTAGGGCCCATAATACATCTTCAATTCTTAAGACAAAGACTCTATTCAAGTCCTAGCACACCACATCTTGTGGCTGTTTCCTATTGAAAATAAGGGGAGTGAGATTGATGCTCCCAACAAGATCATGAGCACTGTCCTGCTGGGGTTTTATAAATTGGGCTAGAGTACCCTATGCCTATGTTTATATGCTAAAGCAGCAAGAGGATCCATTGTAAACAAAATTCTCAAGGCAAATGTATCTTGGTGCCAGCCTCACTGGGTGGGAGGAGTATGATGCCACCATTTAGGTTCCCAAACAAGAGTTTCCTTACCTACGCAGGTTTTTCCAGTTTGGTCTTATGTCTAATGGCATCATGGGGCAATCCTGTGATGCATGAAAATGCTAAGGTCTCTTGGTTTGAGTTAGAACTTGGAAATAATTTAGTTGTTAACAAGTACTGGTGTGGTGCAATACTGTCAAATAAGTTTTGGACTTACGTCTTTTTTCCTTTGTCCCAATAAATAAGTCCGAAAATGACACCAATAACTATTGTGATGAAGAACCTGACGGCATTATACTGTGGATTCCTCCAATAGGAAGAGTACTGTTTCCAGAAGCAAGCTTTACATTGAGTAGCAAATGATTGTGAGTATTTAGACGGAAAATAAAGGTCCTTTGTTCCAGGTACTGGTGTGCATAGTTCCTTAATAAGTTCCTGGTTCTTTCTGAAAAAGGGTTATCAAAGTATTGAAAAGTAAATCATCATGAGAAATTTCAGACAAATTTAGGCAAAAATAAGCTGGAATCTCTAGGAATACAACCGTGAGTGCCACTTACTGATGAAGGTCTGACTTAGTATATATTTCTGCAAAGTCTACATTAAGATGAGACTCAACAGCAGGAGAAGTGATCTCCAACATCCATGTTGCTGGATTATATCCATCTCTAATCTTCGGAACTCCTGTAATAGCCTGAAAAAGGTTTATACACAATCAGTAAGATTACTGGCATCATACTAATTCAAGAATTTATACAATGTAATATTAGTGGTTTACCTCAAAGTACTCAACAAGATTCTGAGAATTTCGACCAAGGGGACCACCATATATCACTTGGCCACCTCTCTTCATCAAAAGCAGCTGAAGTCAAGATGTAGCTCGTGGGTTAGCATTGTGCCTTTGAAACCATTACACAAAGTAAACTCCCACATCGGTCCAAAAGATTGTAAGCATCAATTGTTTTATAGTCCTTGACTATATAAAACTCTCATATAGTCCCTAATTTTACAAAATGTCATTTTACTTTAGTTCTTTTCAATTACATTTTTAGCATGTTATCAACATTGATTAGCAACTACAATTTCAGAGGGCCAATGTGCGTGCTCACCCCTGACATGTTAACCAAGGTCACGATATCCATGTAACAATCCTGGGCCATGCTCACCCCTGGTCATAGGTGTGAAGAACCACAATCACATCTCATTCACATTCCACACAATATCTCATAGTTCAATTCCATACACACATCAGATAAGTCCAAAATAATGAGTTTCATACACCTCAAGCAATTAACATCTAAATCATCAATTTTTATCAAGTAATATAACAATAACATTCATAAATTAATATAATAATCAATGGAATTATCAAGTTAATATAATTTTAACATAAACAGTAAAACTCCCAATTGTTCCAAAACCTAGCTCACAGACACTTTTCTACAATTTCGTTCTCTCTCCCAGATCATCATTCTTACAAATTATTAGCATATTTTTAATCCTCAATACATATACAGTCTAATGGGATCATCAATTTCTCAAACAGAAATAATTATAAAATTACTCATAATCTTAAGAGACTCTTCCTCTACCCAATTCCCTTATATAACTCTACATACAAATAATCCCCTTTTACCCCGTACCTTGATAAACAGTAGTTGAAACTAAAACAAATATCTCCTTAGTCTCCTCCTCTGAGTGTCTCTCGGTCTTCAGAGAGTGTAGAAAGAAAAGAAGAGAGAAGTGAAAAGTGTGCTTTTAAGAGTGCTAGAGTGCTCTATTTATAGGATCAGATGTCTCCAGAACCGCCTGTTCCAAATCCGGAACAGCCCGTTCTGGACCCTTAACTCACGAGTAAAAATCACATCCAGAATGGTTCGTTCTCAAACCAGAACGGTCCGTTCTAGGGTGCATTTAATACTTACAACGGTCATATTTTGGAACGGCTCATTCTCAATTAGGTGAAAAGGCCATTTCTGAAAATCGGAACGTCCCGTTCCTATCTAAGAATCATAGGCAAATTTAATGATTTGAAACGGCCCATTCCGGGCTACCAAATGTAGGAATATTTAGTAATTTAGAACGGCCCGTTCTAATTTAGAACGGCCCGTTCTAATTTTGGAACGGCCCGTTCTAATTTTGGAACGGCCCGTTCTAATTTTGGAACGGCCCGTTCTACTCATTCACATTCCACACAATATCTCATAGTTCAATTCCATACACACATCAGATAAGTCCAAAATAATGAGTTTCATACACCTCAAGCAATTAACATCTAAATCATCAATTTTTATCAAGTAATATAACAATAACATTCATAAATTAATATAATAATCAATGGAATTATCAAGTTAATATAATTTTAACATAAACAGTAAAACTCCCAATTGTTCCAAAACCTAGCTCACAGACACTTTTCTACAATTTCGTTCTCTCTCCCAGATCATCATTCTTACAAATTATTAGCATATTTTTAATCCTCAATACATATACAGTCTAATGGGATCATCAATTTCTCAAACAGAAATAATTATAAAATTACTCATAATCTTAAGAGACTCTTCCTCTACCCAATTCCCTTATATAACTCTACATACAAATAATCCCCTTTTACCCCGTACCTTGATAAACAGTAGTTGAAACTAAAACAAATATCTCCTTAGTCTCCTCCTCTGAGTGTCTCTCGGTCTTCAGAGAGTGTAGAAAGAAAAGAAGAGAGAAGTGAAAAGTGTGCTTTTAAGAGTGCTAGAGTGCTCTATTTATAGGATCAGATGTCTCCAGAACCGCCTGTTCCAAATCCGGAACGGGGTCAGTGAGTGTGGGTAGGGGGGGGGGGTGTTTACCCCTAAAATAACAGTTTTCATTAGCAAAATCTAAATATTAATATTCACCTCATCAAAAGTTTCAAATATATCAATGCTTGGTTGATGAATCGTGCAGACAACAGTTCGCCCTGTATCTACTGTGTTTCTCACGGTACGCATAACAACTGCTGCAGCTCTAGCATCAAGACCAGTTGTTGGCTCATCCATAAAAATAATGGAAGGATTTGCAACCAATTCCACAGCAATGGTAAGCCTCTTCCTCTGCTCTGTTGATAAGCCATTTATTCCAGGAAGGCCTACTATAAAATTTCTCACTTTGTGGAGCTCAACCAGATCCAAAATTTCTTCAATGAACATCTGTAAAATAATTATTAGATTGGTAAAATAGTAAGAACAATTCTTTGGAGTTTCCTCTTGTTTGGTGTTTTGCTTTGTTAATTTTTCTTTTATTTTCTCTTTTATAAAACGAGGCTTTCTTATCATTGTTCCTTGTATTTTCTTTTTTATTGAATTCTTTTTTTTATTCAAAATGAACTACATTGCTGCAATTATAAACTAATTTTAATTATCATTGATTAAAACAAAACAAAACAATAATATAATAGTTGGTTACATACACCTACAGACCGCAATTTATCACTGTTGTGCTGATCAAAAGTATCTCAATTCTCCAGTACTATTTGATGTTTAGCTTAGCTACAACCTTAAGCTAGAAAACTGTATAGAATTTGGGAACTGTTGAGATCCCACATATACTATAGATATGGTTACTGTAGAGCTTATAAATGCTTGGACAGTCTTTACCCCATGAGCTAGCTGTTGGAGTTGGGTTAGAGTTAGGCCCAGTTCAAATTCAAATGGTATTTGAGCCTATCATACATCTAATATTGAGCCACCCTCAACTGTCCAACAATCTACCTATATAAAGGCATAGACAATCCTCACCTCATGAGCTACCTTTTGCGATTGAGTTAGGTCCAATCGAAATTCAAGACAAAAAAGTAATTAATTGCTTGTTAACCATATTATGAGATATCCTAGATCATGTAAAGCTTTCACAGTTGTCTTATAACTTCAAAATAGCTTCTAGCCATATAAAACATAAACAACTGTTTTTCTTTGTCTTGTAATAGATGATTAATATATGTATTGATCACAGCCAATTGTTGAACCAGTAAACTAAACAAGTATGCAGAAAGTCATATTTCAGAAAAGACAGACATAAAGAGCCTGCGCGAGGAAGTTTAGCAGGAGAATTAATTAGAAAAAAGCATACCTTTTGTGTTTCCTTATTAACTTCCTCACTGAGACGCAGCCAAGCAGAAAACACAAGAGATTCGTAGACTGTAACATTTGGGGAATGGATATCATTTTGTTCACAATAACCACTAATCCGAGCAAAAGTTGCCTGGTTTTTTGGATAACCAGATATGCTGATGCTTCCCTCAATATAACCACCAGTTTTCCTTCCTGCAAGCACATCCATCAAGGTGGTTTTTCCAGCACCACTTACACCAACCAATGCTGTTAAAATCCCAGGCCTAAAAGCACCACTTATATCTCTTAGTAGTTGAAGTCTATTCTCTTCAATTCCTTGTTTCTTCATTTCCTGATGATAAACCACCAAAGTGACATTTGAACATGTGGAAGTTAAAATTTTCAAAAATTTACAGTTGAAGTTAGACGATTCTATTACACAAAACTGTTGTCATGTAAACATAATCTTTTTAACGTTCTTTAAATAATTCCTTTATGTGTATGGTTAGATTAGTTAAATTTATATTCTTCAGAAAATTATTAGGTGATGTATGTGCAAAAATTTGACACATTGTCAATTGACCCTGTCCTGAACAGACAAACATGTAACTGCAGAGAATGGAATCATGGTGAATTTTAGTTTGAGTGTAAGGGGAAAAATTCAATTTGTCATAGCCAGGAAAATACAAAAGTCAAAGAAATGATATAATATAAAATTTTATCTGTAATTGCAGGATATGATTGATGTGGTACAAGAGGAGGGAATTGGAATTTACATGTGGCATATCAATGTAATAATTCACATTTTGAAATGCAAGTGACAGAGGCCGAAAGGGCAGCACCATTCCCTTCTTGGATTTTGTATTCTCTGCAGCTTTAATAGTTGAGCTGTGTTCCATGTTTCTTACTTCCATATCAATACCTGCAAATAATTGCAATTATCTGTGTGTTTATTGCCAAGAGAGCTTAGAGTGAATTGCACATTACTAATACAACATATGTTATGTTTTTTATGATCTCATTGTAGAAAGTTGCTTATACTCTTCATTTGAAGAAAAAATCAAATTATACCTTCAAACAATTTAGCAAGTGAAGCTGAACTCTTCTCCGTAGTTGCTGTTGCCTTTTTTTCCACTGAGGATGAAGTAGATGTCTTTTTCTTTTGGTCTTCCTCTTCCACTATAATAGATCTAGAGTTTCCAAATGCTGCAATTTATTTTCAAAGCAATATCAGAGGATGTTTTTAGATAGTGGATTTTTCGTATGGTCATGGATGTGGAGGGAGAGTGATCAAGAAAAGTTATAGGCTAAACCATTAAGAAGGATTTAGATTTAAATAATTTATCTATAGACATAATTTACAATAGGACATTATGGTATGTCATTTGATCCATGTAGCCTCGCCTACCTTGTAGGAAAAAGCTTTTGCAGTAGTTTATTAGAAAGAACTTAGAGCAATTTAAGAAACGAAGTCTTATACCATGCAACACAAAGAAAGATTAGTACGGAAACTTACGATTCAAATAAGTTAGAGCCAGAATGAAACAAATATTGAAAACCAGGGAAAATCCTAAAAGGGCTCCAACGGATATCCAGTACCAATAGTCTTCTGTGAATATGCCTCTGGCCCTAAGAAAAGCCTTCCCAACTGTGGGCTCAGGAATACTTGGGTCAATATTGGGCTGTGAAAAGTGAAGAATCAGCAACAAACTAATAATTATGTAGTGATTATAAGATTAAATAAACACGATAAAATCTTACAGCACTCCATCTTTTGTCTAGGAACTCGTTGATGGCTATGGCATTCATGCCATACATCATGGGTGAAGTGTAGTAGCACCATATCATCCATGAGTCAATATCATCTATAAATGGAGAGAGAGGTTGGAGTGGTCAATTTAAATGAAACATTTCACATGAAAAATGAAGAATCTCAGTTAACATTGAAATATTTCTTCATAGTAAACTGTTACTCACTTCTTGAAACAGTAAATCCACTTAGGAGGAAAACAACTAAAATTGCAAAGGAACCAATTGTATTTGCCACAACTTTTGTTCTTCCAACTGCAGAAATGAAGCGGAATAGGGACAGAGCCATTTGATTCACACAGAAGAATACCAAAAATTGACGAAAAAACCTGTAACAAGATTTTATATGCATCATTGAACAAAACTTGCAAGTTAATAACTCTGAAGAGTAAAGAATGACACAAGAGTATGTCAATTATTTCATTTCTATGTTATTGAGAAACTCACTATCTACACATTACATTCTCATACCTACTAGCTGCAGGAGCAAAGCCAATTGTATAATAAGTGAAGATGATCCATATTCCTGACTCTAACAGAGAGAGAGGAACTCTGAGGACCCAGATGGGCAATGCAAAAGCCCATGCTGGATAAAACAGGAAATCTCTCTGCTTGTAAAAAACGGGAAGTCTATTAATGGTCATTGCCAGCTCTGCCACTCCATTGAACATTACATTAAGGAGGCTGAAAAATAGTGCACCATAGTATTTTCCTGCACCTACAAGTTGACCCTGCTTCATTTCTGTTCTTAAAAATACTGTCATTGTAATTATAGCTATTATAATAATCTGAAATGTCTTGAATATGTATACAAAATGGTTGCGCTTCATCAAAAGCCACTCTCTTGAAAGGCATGCCTTGAAGAGTTCCCATTTGGAGATGCCATACTTTTCCTTCACCAATGCAGCGCGATGTCTTTCGTTTGGATCAAATGGAACTTGAATCTTTTCACGAAGTTGCTGACCGATGCTGTAAATGTTGAAATGGGCTACAAACTCAGGCACAGTGACATATTGGTAAGGTATGTCCCTTCTGAACCAGTACTGTTCTTGGTCCTTTCTGGAAGTTACCTCTTGTAGAAAGTCTGCAACTCCTTTCCTTTCTGGGCATTTGAAGCCTACACTTTCAAAAAAATGCAGCACGCTCTCACGGGGACCTTGATAGACAATCTTACCTTCTGACAGTAATATTATGTCATCAAAAAGGTCATATGTTTCTGGTGCAGGTTGCAGAAGAGCGATTATCATAGTAACATCCATGATATGGACCATCTGCCTCATGAACCTGACAATTTGGAAGGTTGTGGAACTATCTAAACCAGTTGAAATTTCATCCATGAAGAAGGCTTTTGCAGGGCCTACCAGCATCTCACCTGAATTCATGTTATGTAAGTTTCTGTTTATGAGAACAATGACAATAGATGATTCTCTAGAGGAATGTAATATTAGACAAACACTTTTCCTCTCAAACTCCATGTATCATCTAGACCATTCAAAAAGTTGTAATCTAGTAAGCACAGAAATGACATAGGACACTAATACAATGTAACACTGACACGAAGATATCACACATTTTAGAAATCATAGGACATGAGATATAAAATTGTATAAGACACAAATCTTAAATCAAAATAAAAAATTGATGGTTTAAAAATGAACATAGGTCATTGTAAACATAATAAAATGCTACTATTCATCAAATTATTGCTATATTCCTTCATGAATTGGTGTCGTAGTTTAAAGAAATAAATGTGAAATTTTATAAACTATCTTTAGGAGTATTCAAAGTATCCGTGCAATATACTAACAAGTTGTTCATTTTAATGACATTGAACTCGGTTCTTTTAAGCAAAATTTTGGAACCAAGTCTTATGAATGAATAAAAGACATAGTTAAGAGGGGATATCCTAAAGGTGACTAATCAGGTTTTTCGACGAAGATTAGTAATTGAAAAAATTGGTGGATATTTCACACCAATAATATAGTTATAAAAAAAAATAAAAAGTATCCATGCAATATCCAACATATATACATGTTTGACAACAGCACACAGGATAAAATTACGATTTTTGAAGTGTCTAAGCTTCTTTAAGTTATAGACATGAAGCTTCTGAGTGAAATTTCATATCCACATACCATTAGTTAAACGCTTCTTTTGTCCACCAGATATGCCCCTTCTCATCTCATCTCCCACCAAAATATCAGCACATATTTCCAACCCAAGAATCTGTTGCATTAACTCAAAAATGTTAGATGAAAGAAATTAAGGTTTGGTTGCCTATACCTATTGACTAACATGGAAAATGATTGAAAAATAAATAGCATCACCAAACCTTTAGAATGTAGTCTGTAACAAGACTTGTTTCTTGACCTTCCATTGCTGTTGCTTTCATGAAAGCATCTATCTCAGGATCTGGTTTAATGCCCGCTGCTAGTTCCCGTCTGGACAACTCAGCCAGCATATCATACCTTGTTCCAACTCCCAGGCAGCGTCCTGAGAAGTCCAGTGTCTCTCTCACTGTCATCTCTCCATGGTGAAGATCATGCTGACTAATATAAGCACATGTTCTTTGAGGAACAAACTCTGATAATTCATGACCGCAGTAAGTGACTCTTCCTGATGCCTGTTGAGAAATTCTCTAAGTATGCTATCAATATCGATTTTATTAGTATCCTACTAGGCATAAACCATTGTTAAGTGGCTTGAATGGAAATAATAATCTCCATAAATAAGAACACACTCAAGATTGACAGAAAATGTCTAAAATAATAAAAGTAAAAAATATTACACAATTCGTAATCATTCTTAGTATACTTTTCCCTGAAACAAAATCTTCCTAATCCTGTTGAACCTTCCTTACTCCTACCTAGCAATCCTAGATAATAAACCTTCTTTCTAGTACTTGATTATAGATAGATTATTTAATAAATTAATTTAATACTACGTAAGTTAACATGCAAAACTAAAATAGAATCCTTCTTTACCAAGTGACGCTAAATTGTAATTTTCTCCATCATAAGAATATGTTGTAGGTATACTTTTTAGTTGAATAAATCAAACATCCGTAAGTAGTTCTGTGGGTACTGGCACTAAATCGGTTACGTTTAGAAAATTTTGAAAACTGGTCCCACTCACTGAGTTTTATGACCTAAAACAAATATGTAATAATACAGATCCAGATTGCCTGCCATTAGAGATTTTATGCATTCATGAAGTTGGCAAAATTGGAACGTTAGATGAAGATTGGGCGGCTCAAATATAAAATGTGGATTTTAAGTCCAATTTACTGAGATAAAATGAGTTATCAGATCTTCATCTAACAGTTTTCAGTCTCTAATTGTGGGAAATTTCTTCTTGCACACGGTTTTTTAGTCATGCTCATTTTTATAAACTTTCCAAATTTCCCTTACTTTGAGAGTCATTTCCGAAACCTTGTAATTTCAGACATTTGTTTCGGATTTTTGTCTTTCTAGAACGCACAACCTGAACACCCTATTTTTAAAAAAAAATGATTATCCGGAACATCTAAAATAATGTTTTTCTAGAACATCCATTCTAGATCAAAATTGTCCGGATTGGTTTTGGAAAAACAATGTTCTAAATTGGATGCATATCTAATAGTCCAGAGTACCTATTCCAGATAGATAAAAACACATCTAGAATGTGTTTTGGAGACTATAAGTGAAGAGTAAAAAGTTGTTAGCAGTTAGGATTTTTTCATTATCATAATTAAATATTTTAAAGTCTTTATAATTTTTTTATGTTGTTTGTAAGTTTGGTTAAATGTTGTTTATGTTCAGAAAAAATAAGTTGTGCAGATAAATTATGTTTACTTATTAGCTTAGTCATATTTTGTTATTTATTTTACCCAATCAGGAGGTTAGTCGGTTTTAGTATTTAAGCACTTGCTGTAAATATTTTCAAAGTATGTAAAATTGAGTTTATAACTCAAATTTATCAGATCAATTTTTGTCCCTTTTTTATGTGTAATGTTGCAGATATTTTCTAATCTGAACCTCTACATTTTGTTTAGTCATAAACCTTTGTTTTCATGTTTTGTTTTCAACATGGTATCAAGAGCTTCTTTGATCTTTAAGGGCATGTGAGAGAGAAAAAAAGAGAAAGAAAACCAACAAAAAAAAGCCCACACAAAGAAACCTTCAAACACAAAAATGGCTTCTGGTAGTAGTTCTTTACCTTCACATCCTATATTTGCAGGTGGAAATTATTACTTGTGAGCTGCAAGAATGATGACTTATCTTAAAGCTCAAAGTTTGTGGATTATAGTAGAAAATGAAAGTAATCCACCTTCGTTATCAGAAAACCCAATAGTAACTTAAATGAGGAGTCACAATGATGAAGTGGCAAAAGAAGGATGAGCTTTTGTCATTATCCAGACAACACTACATGATGATGTATTTATCAAACTTCTGACTCTTAAAACTACAAAAGAGGCATGGGATAAACTGCACGAGGAGTTCCAAGGGAGTGAAAGAACGAAAAGAATGTAAGTGTTGAACTTAAGGAGAGAGTTTAAAGTTTTAAAAGTGTTAGAAAGTAAATTTGTCAAAGATTTAATTGACAAACTTTTGAAGATTATTACCAAATTAGATTACTCGGTGAAAAACTTAGTGATCAATGCATTGTGGAGAAAATCTTGGTGTGTCTTCCGAAGAGATTTGAATCCAAAATCTCTTCTCTTGAAGAAAATAAAGATTTTTCTCAAATTTCAATTGTGGAGCTTGCCAATGCTCTACAAGCTACTAAACAAACAAAACCTTTAAGGATGGAAGAAAATATTGAAGGTGCTTTTGTTGCATATACAAAAGGCAAAGAATAGGAAAAAAACAACAACAGAAAAGGTTGGGAAAATAAGTTTCCACCATGCCGTCACTGTAAGAAGAACAACCATACTGAAAATTTTTGTTAGTTTAAGCCAAGCATTAAATGTAAGGTCTACAATTAGTTTGGTCACATGGAGAAGGTTTGTAAAAATAAAACAAGCCCACAAGGAACATCAGTCCAAATTGTGGAGCATGAAGAGCAACCTGAGGAACATCTATTTACTGTTACATCTTATGCAACGAGTTAAAACAAAGAGACATGGCTCGTAGACAGTGGATGCACAAATCATATGACTCATGATGCTACAATTTTCAAGGAATTAAATCAGTTCCAAATCTTCAAAGTCACCATAGACAATGGAAAAAAGTGTTGATGTCAAAGGTAAAAGAGTTATTGTGGTTGAAACTCCTTTAAGTATAAAATATATTTCAAATGTTTTATTTGTGCCTAAAATAAATCAAAACCTTTTGAGTGTGGGGCAAATGCTTGAAAAGAATTATTCTTTGTGTTATAAAAATATGGGATGTACCATTTTTTATCCTTCCGAGTATGAGCTTATGTCCATTAAAATAAGAGATAAAAGTTTTTCAATAGTGGAAGAAAAAAGGCATGCTTGCTATTTTAAATAAAGATGAAAATTTGAAAAATGGGCCACTTGAAGAGACATTTCATACTCTTAAATGTGTTTAAAATGGACTCACAAGTAGAAGTTATTTATGGAGAATCCTTTTTTATGAGGTATGGAAGTTGTAACAATCATGGTTATAGCTTTGGCAATAAAGGAAATAAATTTTTTAAGTGGAAAATTTTAGTTGAACTTATTGTACTTCTTATTAATTCACCAGTAAATTTTATGAAGAAAAAATTTTACAATGTTGTGATAACTCTCTTGGAAAAGGTTTTTCAAGATGGAAAGTAGATTAAGAAAACTGCAAGGATTCTTATTTTAAGTGAGAAAATTAATGTTCAGCTCAGAGATGTTAAATTTGTTGATACTTATCTACTTAAAGGAGATCCAACAAAGAATTGTAAAGGATGATAAAGATCAAATCTTGTAGTGATGAAGAAAAATCTCAAGGAGTGTTGGTAGTTGAGATTTTTTCACTATCATAATTAAATATTTTAAAGTCTCTATAATTTTTTATTTTACTTGTAAGTCTGGTTAAAGGTTGCTTATATTCAGAAAAAGTAAATTGTGCAAGCAAATGATGCTTTCTTATAAGCTTAGTCATGTTTTACTGTTTGCATTACCCAATCAGGATTTAGTCAATTTTAGTCTTTAAACATTTGTTGTAAAAACTTTCAAAATATGCAAAACTGAGTTTATAACTCATATATTAGATCAGTTTGTGTCCTATTTTATGTGTAATGTTGCAAATTTTCTAATTTGAATCCCTATATTTTATTTAATCATATAACTATGTTTTCATGTTCTGTTTTCAACAGGAGTGAGTGAAGGGTGTGGGAATAATAAGTGAACTGTGAAGAAAGAGGGAAGAGGGAAGGGTATTAAAGGAATTTTCAATATATGATGAGTGTATGGAACAACTGGAAGGGTGCAGGGTGCAATTGTCCTAATTGTGTAAAATGTAAATGTGTATCCTTGATTGCATGAATCCAAATCCAAGTCCAATTCCGAATGGTTTTGGTACCCATATCCAGCTTGCATGGACATTGGCAAAACCCTTATTAATTACGTATGGTTATAGCTTATAGGTATCCATCCAAAGCATGATGACTCCAGTTGAATGTAAAAGGAAAAAAATGCATGAGTATGACATAGTAACTTGATGGATTTAGTTTTCATAGTTCTTATATGTGCTAATTGTCATTTAATTACAAAATCTGGTGTACAGTAAGTTTATGATTTTTATAAATATAAGTATTACTTAAGATTATATATAAAAAAATTCTTTTTATTCACGGACATAATATATGCAGTATCACAAAGTTAACAATTAAGGACTAATTTATGTTTATAAGATGTAATTTTTATTGTTCTAAGATTATTTTAACACTGAAAAATCAATCCTTAAAACACTTAGTTGATTTTTGTGTTTTAGAATAGAAATTTTATTCATTTACTCAGACTTATGTTAAAGTTTTTGATTATTTGATAGTGTAAATTATTTTACACTAGTGCTACATGCTATTAATTTTATTTTATTTTGAATTATCTATCTTAAATTGATATCAAAGTGGAGAAAATAATTTATTCATTAATGGTATGAATCAACTTTACATTATTATTGAATCATAAGCGTACATATCACTCTTTTTATAATTACGATATATCAAATATCCCTTAAAAGTTATATCTATGATGATTTTTGATTAGGTAAATTGTTCTTTTTTACATTTACGGTGCATAGTTATTTTAAAAAATTAACAAGGTCATAACTTTATAAGAAGTCTAGTAACTTGTAATATGTGAAAACATAAAAGATTGTGTAACATGATATATGTATTTATGGTAGAGTTTCAAATAAATTATTCATAAAAAGGTAGGAAGAGGATAAGTAACCCTTAAATCTTTGTCCATTTTTCCAGAAAGTGCCTGCAGGAGTGTAGTTTTTCCTGATCCCGGAGGTCCCAAAAGCAGAGTCATTCTGGATAGAGATAGAAAGAAGGTTAAATCTAGTTACCAAAATATCAATTAGGTGCTACCATTTGTGCACTTTTACAAAGTTATTTCTATTATAGGAATTTCTCAAGTAATAAGCGTTTTATCAAAATTTGTAAACTTTTCCTAAATGTGTCATTTTCAATTTAATTTGAGTTTATTTATTTGTAAAAATTATTAAATTTTGACAAATGTGTCATTCCTTACTTGGTTGTCTATTTGTAAAGTAATAGTTGTCAAATTATCTTGATTATTTCTAAATCCTATTGCAATAAGCTCAAATTATCAAATTTTAACACGAATCATTACCGAGTCAGTATGTCTAACAATTTTTCTTTTTGAAGTTATAGAAATTATAAAAGTAGCAACATAATTTAATTTAAAAATAAAATTAAAATAATAAATTAAACACTTTAGAGGTTAAAAGAAAATTCTCAAAAAAGTTTTTATCAAAAAAAAAAGCTAACATGGTAATAATTTCTAAAATATTTTTGTTTCAAATAATTATTTTAATTTATACTAGTTAATAAAGATGATAGGTTTTTTTGGTATATACATTTTATTAACGATTTTATCCTTAACTTCTAAAATATTTTTCTCTTTCATACTTTTTTATTTAGATTCTTTTTTTCACTTTTGGGTAATTTTATTTTTCGAACATCTCACATCTTTATAAAATGGTTATGATTAAATTATTTAGCATGACCACTCCCTACA